TTAAAGATCTCTGATCAGTCTATTTAAATCATGCTGGAATCTAAATACTATTCTATAGTTCATAGCTGAAACAAATGTTCTGTGATAACCTATGAAACAGGAGTACAAACTATGAAATCACATTTAACATTCTTCTTAAATCCTCAAAGACTACTCTAGAAAACCTCAAAGACAGCACACAAGGCATTTTTCCCTGAAATTAAGGTTCTTATGAATATATTCATAAATATAGTCGAAGGAAGAAAATACAAACAACCCAGATATCCTAGGTTAATTTTACCTTCTCAGATTTAGTTTGGTATAGAGCAAGCATCTGGTATAATCATGGCTTCTCTGGGAAACTTTGACTTTCTCCTCATATTTAGGGAGCTAACATATTTATTCTCTGCCTTGTTCCAGAAGGAATTTAAGGTCGCTTAAAAGACTGAGCAAAGGCCAGAAAGCACAAATTACAGGGTAAATGGAAAAAAACAAAACAAAACAGAGAAAATAGAGTTTGGGGGGAAAAGCATATATAAAACCATTTAAGGAAAGGTCAGGAATTAAAGTATATTATTCTCCACAGTGATTTTCTGGAAATATTGCAAAGTAGGGTATTAATTTGTAAGAAAACTAACTGCTGGTAAACTGGGGATATTGATCAAATTTATTAAATTTTGTATTAATCCTGATAGAGATGATGATAAAAATGTGCTTTTTCCTCTGTGCTTGGGTAAAGTACGTTTTCCTGAATGCCATCACGTAGGACTCTGGACTTAAGTACCTGGCTACTGGTAGAGGAGAATGTAGGTTAAAAGAGAAAAAAACAAAACAAAATTTAGTTGCCCTTCCTTAATTTCTACCGAGAAACCCAACAACTGGGGTGGAATGCATGTTGATGACGTGGGGATAGGCAGCCATAGGTCAGGGTGTCAGGTGTCCATAGGTCTCCGTCCACAGGCAAAGCCTCAATCCTGGGGTGGCCTGCCCACATCACTTCCCGCAGGCCCAACAGCGCCCCTTGTCGGGACCCAGAGAGACCAACGGAAGCAGGCAAACTGCACGGCAGGAGGCCTGCTCAGGTGGGCTTGCTGAGCCTGCAGTCTCCCTGCTGCCCACACTGCTGCCGAAGCTCTGACCCGCTTCCAGTCTGCACATCGCAGACCTCACCCCACTCCCGTGGGGCAGCAAAGTTGTGGAGGGAAGGCGGGGGCAGCATGAGCTTCCACAAAACACGAACGGGTCGTTTAGCTCTGCTCTTCAGGCCCGGTTTCAACAAATGCTACTAAACGAACCATCTTGTACCTCTGAGCTGAGAGGTAAGAAGTAGAGGGGGTGGGGATGAAGAGAAGGGCTTGAGGGAAATGAAGACATGAAAGGTGGTAGGATACGTGGCATGAGGTTCAAAACTATAGATTAAGGATCAGAACAAAAATATCTACGTGACAGCTGAAACTAATCACCGCCTCCTATCTTTTTTTTTTTTGAAAGGATGATTGTTCCTAATCAACATTCCTAAGTTTTGGTCAGGTGAGTGAAGAATGAAGTGCAAATCTATAGATCTAAAGCCCCAGGAACTGCAGTGTTCTTGGCTGGGGTGAAGAAGCTGCCCCAGGGTCGGTGAGACAGGCTTTCCAGGGAGAGGCCAATGACTACCGTCTTCCCAAGGATACTCTTCAGAATACAGGCAGGGCCACCTTACTACCTATTAGGCACCATGCCTCCAGCCCACAATACCTTTAAGGCCCATAAAATGTTTTAATTTCTTTTCAATTCAGAAGGAAAAAAAATCAATCCTTTAGATTGAGGACATGTTTATATACAATATCAGATTCATTTTATACAAATGCAATTATAATGAATTTATTGTTAATTTTTTATGGAAGAAGACATCCAAAGGCGGCAAAAGTGTCTAAGTCCTAATGTGGCTTTGAACATAGTTCAAGGATAAAATAATGGAGGAGGAAGGAGAGTCTGATCTTGTCGATCTTATTCCACTGATTTTTCTTTTTTGAAAGCTACTTTGAGATTAGATTTTAAAGAGAACTAAGTCTAATACTGGCAAAGTACTACTGTCAATTTCCGCTAGCCAAGCAGGAAAAAGAAAAAAAAAAGTTCATTATTTTACTGTCATTGGGCAACTGTAAGAATCAAATCAGGACGAAGAGATCTGGATGTTTTCAGGTCCGGTCTCCACTCCTGTAAACATTACCAGAGGGAGGTTTTCCTTTGGGTCTCTGCCTCCTGAATTTCCTATATTACACTGCCCCTCAACAGACTTCCTCTGTGCTTCTCCAAGGCCCTGGCTCTGACTGCCTTCAGTGGCCCAAGTCGGCAGTGAATGTGGGCACCTGCAGTTGAAAAATGTTTTAAGAATATGATAAGAGCAAAAGGAAACAGGGAGAATGAACGGAGGAGGAGGGAGAGGAAAAAAACTACAGTAATGTTCCAAAATTACATGGTCCAAGAAAAAAAAGGGGGGGAAGAATATATACTAAAATGTTACCTGTGGTTTTCTAGATAACAGGATTTATATATTTTTGTTTTATTCATTTTGTTTTTAAAAAATATTTTATGATAAAACATACTCTATCATCAGAAAAAAACACTCAGTAAATATTATTTAAAAAATTGTGTTCTCCAACTCTAAACTCTGAAGATTACCATCTTTGACTTCCTCACAGTATGGCTTAGGTTGGTAAATATGGTTAACTTGGCATGCAGAGGAACCGGATTTGAGAAAAGAATTGTTAACAATTTCAATTATTTTCCATCACCCGAATTCATCAATTTATACAGAAATATCAATCAAGAGCTAATTAATACCACTTTCTAGGATCTGTTCCCAATGTACAATGGGAAAAATATGTCAAAAGGAAGAGTACAAAGGAAGCAATTACTATGTTTTACAGAATCGCAGACTTTGTGTGCTTGGAAGGATAAACTAAGTCATAAAACTCAGACCCGTGGATTATAGGTGAAGGGCCTGAGGTCCAGACAGATTATGTGATTTTATCACTGTCACAGAGCAAAGCTGATAATAGAATTAGCATAAGTACTCAGGTTTCCTGATTTTTGGTCTATAGCTCTTATAAACCTCAGTCCCAAAAGTAACTGCCTTATACATTGTTTCATTGTTTATCCTAACTACCTATAGAGGAATACATTTAGACCTGCAGGGCTGTTAGGAAGGTCATTTAGACCTCAGTTACACAAGAATTTAGGCTCAGAGAAGGTCAACTGTAACCATCTCTCCACCCCCCACCTCCAAGTCACAAGGTTGAGCCAAGACCCAGGCCATCAAAAACTGGCTCGCTGCTCTCTCAAATACTGCCATATTCTTCTGTAGCTAATGATTACAACCAAAAGAGATAAAAATACAGAATCACATCCAGATAAGACGTAATAAAACTATTATTAATAAGGATGCTTGGAGAATGGGTGTAAATCAGTTCTATAGCTAATAGAAATGAACTCAAATCTATTTGAGTAAACAGGCAGCATGAGTGCTAATTTTACTTGAAAATGTACTTAAATGTAAATCACAACTTTAAGTTTTGTTGGAAGAACAAAGATGATGGAAGATGATATAAATAAGGGCTTTCAGGTTCTCAGGTTCATGCATCTGAAAATAAATTATAAATGTTTTTAATTCTTTAGAGCAGGGGCTGGACGATAATGGCCAGCAACTCGTTTTCTGTGAGGCTCATGAGGTAATACGAATGGTTTTACATTTTTAAAGGATTGTAAAAAAATACAAAGAAGAATGTCTGATAGAGACAGTATGTGGCCTACAAACCTCAGTTATTGTCTAAATGCCCCTTTACATAAAAAGTTTGCTGACTTAAGGGGCACCTGGGTGGCTTGGTTGGTCGAGCGTCCAACTTCAGCTCGGGTCATGATCTCACGGTTTGTGGGTTCCAGCCCTGCATCAGGCTCTGTGCTGACAACTCAAGAGCCTGGAGCCTGCTTTGGATTGTGTGTCTCCTCTCTCTGCCCCTCCCCAACTTGTGCTCTGTCTCTGTCTTTCAAAAATAAAGAAATGTAAAAAAAAAATTAAAAAATTAAAAAAATTAAAAAAATTAAAAAAAGAAAGTTTGCTAACTTATGTTCTACATTTAGAAAGTATATGAAACTGGGTTAGATATGTAATATACCCTGGAAGGCTTTTTTGTTTTTAAAATTAAATCTCTGATTTAATATTTAAGCAGTATTATAATTTGCCTCTTCTGAGAACAGGTAGTAGAAAAAAATCTAGTTTGAGGGTGAAGATTATTCATCTTCCAATTAAATGAGGTTTTATCACACACACTAACAGAAGTGGACATACAGTTGAAGCTAATTATTTCATGTATCTGAAATCCATACAAAATGTTTCAGATAGCTGAGAAAATGCCATATCCTGTAGTATTACTGCTATAAAATAAAATGGAAACAAATATCTATAATGGGAAAACTGGCAAGCTGATTCTCTCCTTTGGGTCTCTTATGCCTGCCCTGGCCTCCTATAGCATGTTGCTAGATTCATTAGACCACTAGTTCTCAACCATGTTATTAATTACCTCAGTGACCATCCATCCATGTCTCGTTTGCAACCATAACCAAATCTCACCAAAACACATGGAAAAAATGGAAGTGCTCCTAATGAGACACAGACATGAAGTACCAAAAGTGGAATGACTAGTTGGGGAAGAAATAAATATGACAGATACATGCCATTTATCGACCTGAATACAACAGTACAGCAGACAGCCCTTCAGAGTCTACTGCACTGCTTACTGGCCATGGTCGGACTGTAGCACCGCAGCAGACCCTGGTTCACACAACACTCTGATAATCACTGTAGGAAAACAAGTCCGTATCTCTTTGTCACATGATTTACGTGACCAAGTTGGATTCTGTGAACTAGAGACAAAATATTAAAGGTGTGCCACTATTAGCTAAATTACAATAATTTCAAGGTTATTACTTTGAGAGTAGGATCTATTGTGTCCAGATTAGAATGCCTTACTTTAAAATAATTACATTAACAATTCCTTTGGACCCACAGCACAGTTCTCTTCAGCCACTCCGTTCTCTGGCTTGCTTTTGTAATTGGAAAGGAATAAATTTTCTATTTGAGTCAAGAATTCTTCGGCAATGAAGCAATTAGTCACGTTGCTCAGAGTTTTCCTCAGACACTCCAAGAGCTATTGGAGAGAAAAGTTTTATATTTAAAAAGGGTAAGAAGAGGGTTTGCAGTTTTAAATATTTAAAAAGGGTAAGAAGAGGGTTTGCACTACTATCGTTATTGTATCCCTTTCCAAATCTTTTTCTTTTTTTTTTTTTTTTTTTTTTTTTTTTTTTAAAGTTAACGCTTATTTATTTTGGGACAGAGAGAGACATGAACGGGGAGGGGCAGAGAGAGGGAGATTATTGAATGGGAAACAAACTGGTTAAGCCATCAGCCCAGAGCCTGACGCGGGCTCGAACTCACGGATCATGAGATCGCGGATCTGGTTGAAGTCGGACGCTGAACCGACTGCGCCACCCAGGCGCCCCTCCAAATCTTTTTCTAATAAGCAAAAGAGAAACAGTCTCCTTAAATGTGGTTGAAGACAGTTTTGTGATCAATAATCACGCACCTAGAGTGTAGGAAGTCACTGTTGAGAAATGCTTGGGCTTATTCCTTTATGACTTTATATGAGGAGACACACTTGAGATTTTAAGTGTGAATTTTTTACTTTGGACAAATTTGTGACTTTGCTTCTTTTTTTAGTAGTTACATTTACAAAACAAAGTAATCCTGTAGAACGAAAATCTATGTACATACATGGACGCTACATCAGGATGGTAGATAGAGCTGTTTCCTGAGAAACACGCACATCCAACAGAACAAAAAGAAAGTTTTAATACAAGGGGGTAAAAATATTAAAAAGAAACTCAGTATGTTTTAGTTTTCTCTTCTTAAATTGCTACCAAAAAAAAAAAAAAAAAAAAGACAGATGTTACCAGTCTATGGGTCTTTAACTCTTTATACCCATAGAAGCAAAACAAGAAGTAAAATAAAAATATTCAGGACTCTTTATTTCCTACCAGAAAGTTAAATAAAATGACACTTAAACTTAATTATTAGATTTATACTACCAATCTTAAAAACGAACAATTATTAAGGCTAAATGGAAACATGAGACTTTTGAATTTAATAAAATGAGAAAAATGTTCTCCATTGTATATAATAATAATCTGCTAGGAAATTTATCAGCCAACACTGACAAATTTATTCTAAACTAGTATTACTTCTATATGCAAGTGTGGGCAACAAAATACGTTACTAATTTTCTCCTAGAAATTAATTTTAGATAGGAAACGGCAATAACAAAAATACACAGAAAATGTATCCACAAAGCATTAGGCATCATGGGAAACCACATCGAGATGAATAGCTTTAGAATCTGTGAACAATAGAACCAATTAAAATCAAGGCAGCTTACTTTCTGCAAACAAGTCAGGTCAGAATCCCGGCGGAAGATTTTATCCATAGGGACACTGCTGTTGGAAGAAATATGAAGACAAACTGATGAAACAAATACCACAAAAGAATCTGTTTTCTAATAAACTGTCACTGACGCCATACATCATAATTTTATATTTAACTTGGGTTTTCTCTAAAACATCATTTAATGAGACGCGCTGCAGATGTGCGGCCACCTCAAACCACAGCACATACCTATGGGACAGTCGGTATTTTTCTATTATCCATCTTGCCTTTTCAAACACTAATCCCCACTGAGGTTCTTCTAGCATCTGCTGTACTTCAAATTTGTAAGGTAAACCTAGAAAAGCATAATGAAGCAGACTGTCATCAGCTATCGCTTCAATCCCCAATCTCCTTTTAATTACCAAGAATCCTCACAACCACAACCTGGCAGACCAGCTGAACAGCACTTTAAACATAGTGGGCATTCATTAAATATTTACTGCCTGGCTGAACCTGGCCCATCGAGCATATTAATGCTCAGCAATTAATAACAATAAAGAAGAGTACATGTACCATTTGCATGACAATTCTATGTAAGGAACAGAGAAGCAGGATGATCACATAATTTACATCCAAATCAAGAGACTTTTTGAGTGAAAGGGGGCACTGTTAAAAACGGTGCCAGAACTACGGCTAAACAGACACCGAGGTAGGCAAACGAAGACAATTCCATCCTAGTGATTTTTATTTTCACACGGGTCATTGAGCTTACAGCAATGCTATAAAGCAGGTGCATTATTCCTACGTTAAAGATAAGGAAACGAAGGCCGAGACACGTGAACGACCTGCTTAGACTGGTGAAGTGGAAGAGCCTGGATTTTAAGCCCCAGCAGGTCTGCCTGGCTTCTGGGCCCACACTCACTTGACCTGCCTACAGGTGCTAACCTAACCAGTCAGGGAATAGGATGAACTCTGGAAGGGCAGCAACTGCACTCCTGTCAAAATGGTCATGCTCAGTTCCAGAGACAGGAGCCCAAGGGGTGGATGCCATGTACATAGCCAGAAAGGCAAAAGACCAAAGGATGAGCCTACTTAGAAATTTTTCACATGGCCTTCAAAATCCCCCTGTAATTATATTTGCAGTGTATTAAAAAAAAAGCTGAGTTGATCTGTTAGCAGAGGGCAACACCGTAAAATTAACTGTAGAACTTATACAATGCTTACTACATGGAATGCCACTTAAATGCACTAGCTGCCAGTACTGTCCTTTATTTATTTATTTTTGGATGAGGACACAGAGCCACAGAGAGGTTAAATAACCTGTTCATCAGCATACACGTAATTACTAAGTAGAGCCAGGATCTGAACCCAGGCAGTCTGGCTCCAGTTTATGTTATTAACTTTACATTATACTGCCTCTCAACTGCGTTTTTGCCAATATTAAGACTTTTCAGGTAAATAAAATGCCAGCAAATCGAAAGGCATGAAAAAAAATGAAGGAAAACATTATGATTGTCCTTCCTTACAATATAAGCATACTCTGTCAATATGCTCTAAAATGGTCTTTTTTCCCCATTTTTTCCCAGGTGGATTTTTTTTTTTTTCATTTCTCAGTTCTCCTCTATTTCATGTCTTCCCTCCAAAAACTTAAGAATAAAGCATTTGACTAGTTTTATTGCGATATTCGCTTTATTGTGGTGGTCTGGAACCAAACCTGCAGTATCTCCGTGGTATGCCTGCCTGTAACTAACACGCATGCTGCCTGGCTCTAACTTTTCTGCACAATATAACCCTTGTGCCCAGAGGCCATGGTAACACAGTGGGGACTTGAATCTAGAAGGATATCACTAAAGGAAAGAGGGAGGCCGCACTACATGGTATGTAGACAGCAATTCTCTAGTTGAGGCTGCAAAGCTTTCCATCACATAGTTTCACATAGTTGTAAATTCGTTGCTATGAAAGATTCAAAGAAACGTGGGCAGAAAGAGGATGAAGTTGTTTTTGTTGAAAACTTACGGTAAGAGCCATCTGAGCTAATTTTATCACTTATAACTAGGCAGGTAATCTGGGAATAAGGTAAAGGATTGTTCTGATTATAAGGACTAACAATCATTCCAATGAACTTGGCACCGCCTCTGGAGAAGTAACTCTACAATTCAAAGAAAAGTAAAATTAGTCTTGACTACATAAATTTAAAAATCAGTATTTACCCATAGCAACATCTTAAATAACGAATGGAGAAAAAAGGAGCACCAAAGTGTGTTAAAAACTTCACATCCAAACAGCAACTAAATGAAATATACTATATATCATTCCACACCCTAAATTTTTCAGGTCAAAATGTACTCAACCCAACCAGAAATGATCCTTAAAAATATGACCTGGACTGAAAATCTGTATTTACCATGAATATGTCTACAAATTATTTTCACTACCCTTCAGCTATAATCTTTATCAATATGGTAATAATAGCTGCCTATAGCAAAAACATACACCTATCAAACATAAAATGTTGGAACAAAAGTTTGTTTTTTCCAGAGATGCAAAATAGACTGCTTCTGGTTATTTCACTTGTACCCAGTCCCTGTACTAGTTGTTCCCATCAATTTTTAGAGGCTCTGGGAGTAATTATCACTGTCACTTAGATGGCTTGTCTGCACTAAATAGCTGATTTTCCAAATGTTTAAATAAACATATATTACCCCTGTAATCAGAAAAAATGCAAAGTTATTTCAAAACTCCAGATGTAAATAATATTAGAAATTCAATACTTCGCTAGAAATGTTAGAAGTATATTTATAGAGGGTGCTTGGGTGGCCCAGTCAGTTAAGCGTCAGACTGATTCAGCTCAGGTCATGATCTCACAGTCTGGGAGTTCGAGCCCCGCGTCGGGCTCTGTGCTGACAGCTCAGAGCCTGGAGCTTGCTTCAGATTCTGTGTCTCCCTCTCTCTCTGCCCCTCCCCTGCTCATGCTCTGTCTCTCAAAAATGAATAAACGTTAAAAAAAAAAAAAAAAGTATATTTATATAATAGAAAGCAACGAGAGGAGAGAAAACGTGCATACATGCAAGACCTACAGGCACACCTGGTATTTGGCTTGAGTGTCAATATCTCGTAAAGAAGGATTTGGATCAAAGGCAGGATGAGAATGATACCATCCAATTACACGATAGCCTCTCACAGCCAAGGTTTCTGAGGCCTGTGTTTGTGACACAGGATCCATCTCACACTGCAGTCCTGTACTCAGACTGTTACATGGTTCTGCTGCACAGACCTATAAAAGATTAATCCTTACATGGTTACACTGAATCCCGTTAATTCTATCACTTTAATGTTTTAGTTCTTTCATACATAGATGCAGAGGCTTTTTTTAGGCCACGTCTTTTATCCGACAGTATCACAGGCAGCCTTTAGCCTGCAAATGAATTACACTTCAAAAGTGATTCTATGTAGGAACTCAGAATCCACTTTTCCACTCAGACAAGGCCATAATAATTGTTAGTTTTCCAGGCCAGCCCATATAATACCTGCACATACAAAGTCTTTCAATGAGTCCTATTATTTATAATAATAAAGTGATGCATGCCAAGTTTCAACTATAAGGTTGCTGCATGGTTCCTGGCCTGTTAAGAGTAGTTGTAGCATTTTACTGGTGAAGGCAACGAGGAGGCGAGGCCTGGCCGTGCTCCCTCTTTCTTGATGGTAAAAGGAAACAGGTACTCAATATATGGAATGTTAATTTACTCCTGGGAATATCCAGCCCACACTGGCATATTCTCATTTATATCACAGGTAATTCTATTTTAATTATATCCACTGAAATCTATAAAAATATTTGGTATGGCAGCAGGACTAAATGATTTTAAAAAAATATTTAAGAGCAAGAACTTACTTCAACTATCTTATTAACTTCTGAGTATCTTCCTCCTAATAGACCAATCACTTCTGCCATAGAAACATGAGCATGCTAAAAAGAAATACAAAATAGACTTAGCCCAAACATACAAATCCATCTGACAAAAAAATCAGAAAAAAAACTCACTTATACATAGGAGAATCATTTGTAAGTACGGTAACCGGGCATAGCAGAGGAATCAGACACTAGGCTCACTACACAAAGACTTGGGATTTCAATCTATCTGCGCTGCCAGCTAAGAAGCTTTGAAGCAAACACTCAAAGATGTCATTATTTAATTTACAAAATGAAGACACCATTTGCTTTCCTCGCTCAGGACCCTAAAGATAAAAAGTAAAAGTCACTCCTGGTAGTCCTACAAAAAACATCCTCTAGAAAAACATCCAAAACCAGCACAGCTACTGGAGGTCTCAGTAACTGAGTGCAAACAAGGAACCTCCAAGTGGTAGGAGTTGTGCTTTGCTGCAGTTATCTAGAAGGCAGCAGACAAAGGATGTCAGGAAATTAAAACAGGGTTAATGATGATAAACAGTCTGCAAAAACTCACATTAATTTATTTTCTCTAAAATATGGAAACATGCAATTGTTTGGCTTTTCTCCAAAAGAAAAGACTTATTTTTAGACTCCTTGTAAAAGAGGATAGTTAAGATCCAAAATACACGTCTTCCATACTCTCTCTTAAGCCTGCAATAAAAATACACAAGAATAGAAATCAGAGTAAGTAAACACAATAGATTATCCTTACCAAATCCATTATTAAAAGTGCTTCTGAAGCCACTTTCACCTGAAATGGCTCCTGAAATATAAAAAAAAAAAAAAATGGGG